ATATATATATATACATATATACCAAATTACACATTCTATACATGTACTTCTGTACCAATACCTTAAGTATATCACCACATGCACAAAAATACAGATCATAAATGAGATTTATGAGAAATAGGAAAAGACGTCCTGACGCTGTGCCCCCTGCCCCCTGCCTCCGCCCCCCATTCCTGTCAGTGTATCCCACACAGGGGTGATGGGATGCGGGGGTGGCTGGTGTGCAGAGGGGCTTGCTAGATGGGGGCACCTGGGCCTGCCAGGAACCACGTTTGCCATTTGTCACCTCAGAGTCCTCCATGGGTGCTCAAGTGAGGGCTACCTCAGAGGGATGGCCCAGCCACTGCCATCCTCGTATCAGAGGGTGTCCTCTTGGGGTCAGGTAGGTAGAAAGTCAACGTTAAAAAAGTGTTATGTTGTGAAGCCTTCACCCACACAACGGCTGTCCATGCACTTAGCATGTTAAAATATCTTTTGCCATAACACTCATGAGTGCTGGCGGGCTATTTGGGAAAGGTGGACCCTGCCAATCTGGGGTCTGGCTTGTGGCTGTTTCTGCCTGGGTCGACCCGAGGAGCTGGAAGAGCAACAGGCGGGTGAGCTTTAAGAGGGCAAAGGTGGCACTGGGTGTTATAAGCTGGGCGGGTCCTGAGTACCCGTGACCAAGCCTCAGTTAAATGAGTGGCAGAGATCTGCGGTCTCCTCTGTGGCCAGGCACTGGCTGAGATCCCGAAGGACTCAGATGTTGTTGTTAGCCCCTCTTTGTAGCTTACAGTCTTATCTAAGCCAGAGAGAAGCCTGCTTCAGGTTCTGCCATTAGTGGACAGTAAAGAATGCCAGATGTTCTGACCCTGGGTAGGACTGACACTAACCACTGTGCTCTCCTACCTCCTGCTCCATCAGCTGTTCTCCTCTTTTCTTAGTGTGCAATTCTTAGTCAAACTCTCCTTTATATCACTGAATGAAGAAGTAAGTAGGGAGTTGTTTGCATCTTAGGAGGAACACTGGTATCCAACCGCAGCCCTTGGGAAAGGCTGGAAAGCCTGGGCAAGAAGGGAGAGCTGGGGGTCCATGCCAGCCCATCCATTTTCCCACCACCCCAGAGCCACAAGTACCTCAGGCGCACAGCCTGGCACCTGGTCAGGGCATGCTGGGCCTCAGCGTGTCTGCCCTGGTGCAGGCCTCGGGCTGTGGCCTCCAGCATGCTGAGCTTTTCCACCTGTGCCTCCAGGCGCTGCTCAAGCCTCTTGCACTGGCGCAGGAGCACCTCCACCTCGGCTGGGGAGTCCTGGGGGGAGCAGGAGTCTGCCAGTGTCCTGCTCACCCCTCCCCCACGGAGCCACTGTCCTGCTCATAGTCATGCTCAAGTCCCTCAAGGCTGTTTCTGGCTTTAGCACAGTGACTCCTGGACATGAGTGGTGCTGGGAAGGGTTGGGCCAGGCTCCAGGGAAGACACAGCTTTCCTGCCCTCTTCTCTGTGGCCAGCAGAATGACATGGGTCCCTAAGTATTTGCTGAGTTCTCTGAGAGACACACTTATCTTTAGTGGGCTTGGTATAGTGGTGGGAAGAAAGAGACCCTACTCCAGGCCCACGAGAGGTGCTTAGGACCAACAAGGAAGTGACTCCTGTGACAGCTATGCTGGGGCGGGGGTGACCCTGGCCTGCCAGGCTCAGGCAGCCCTACCAGTCTCAGTGTTGCCTCTCAGCCTGCCTTGTGCACCCCCTACTTCTGATGAACACCTACCCCCATCTCCTCGCTGGCCAGGGAGGCTTCCTCGTTGCAGAACTCCCGCTCTGCCTTCTCCACAGAGCTCAGGCACAGCTGGTCAGAAAAGGAAGGTGAGAGGAAAGCCAGCAGAGGGTCCCGTCACTGCCAACCAGTGGCCTGCTCCATGACAAGTCTACAGTAGACCAGACTTGTGGGGAAGCCCCCTGCATGGCAGCCTCTGGTGATGCCTTGACCTGGGGCTGTTCAGGCTGCACAAGCCCCAGCGTGGGTCAGGATGGGAACAAAGGGTGGCACCGACCTGCAGCTCTATCGCCTGCTGTAGCTGCCCCTGGTGCTCCTGCCAGGCCCCTTGCAGGCTGTTCAGCTCTTGGTCTAAGGCAGCCAGGGCCTGGTGAATAGTGGGGGCTGATGGGTGCCCAGTGGCAAGCAGCTGTTGCCCGGTGCTTCGGGCCAGGTTGATGCTGTCTCTCCGGCCATCCAGCTCATCCTGGAACAGAGCTGGGCTTGGATTCCTGGAGGCATTAATGCCTGCCAGGGCTATAGGAAAGGTGGGGAGAGATGGGGGAGGGCCTTGTGTGGGACAAAAGAAGATGGAGGAGAGCAGGAGTGAGGAAGGAGTGCAGTGGGAAGGTGAGGTCCACAAAGGCCCAGGGTCCCTGCAGCTCACCTTGCATGCCTGATGCTCCTCCAACATGCACCAGGATACTTCATGACTCCAGGGAGAGCGCTGGTTGTTCACCTCAGCCCGCAGCTGCTGGGCCCAGAGCAGCAGTTCTTGCAGTAGCACCTTGAGCTTCTGCACTTGGTGCTCAGCTTCCAGGGACTCCCTCCTGCCCACAGGGTTCATCAGCTAGTCCCAGGGCCACTGAGCTCCTCTTTCCTCATGCCCACCTGTGTCATCTCCTGTCTCTTAGTCCCCAAAGCAAAAAAAGGCTCAAGGGCTGAGAATTAACAGGCTGCAAGTTAATGGGTTGAGAATGAACAACATGATAATTAATGGGATGCCACTGGTGAACCCCTCATGGAACAGACCAGAATCTCAGGGGAAAACAAGGGTCTGTGGGGAGAAGGAAGACTGATACATTGCAGAAGATGGGCCAGGGAGGGAGCAAGGCCCAAGGGGCTCATACCACTTCTGCACCCTGCTCTGGAGCTGACACCAGCTGTCCATCATCTCTCGCTGCTTGTGACTGAGGCCATGGTCTGTCCCAGGGTTTGTCTGGCAGAGACAGCTCACCTTGTGCTGGAGGGACTAGTGGGGGCACTAGGATCAGAGACTGGCAGGGAGGGCTTGGGCTGGGAAGGCCCCTGGCCTGTGCCTCTCTGGATCCTGAAGCCTGCTTTGCCTGCTTCTGCTTCCTTTAGAGCAGTGGTGGCGAACCAATGGCATGTGCGCCACTGCAGGCTATATATATCATTGAAAGCTCTGAAAGGCTCACCATCACTGTCCCACAGGAAGTACCCAGGGCTAGGTCCAACTCCCCCCAGCTCCACACCTCCACTTGTGCCTGGATGAGGCCCACTTCCTGCTCCAGCACCGCCTCTTTCCACAGCAACCTCTGCACGCTCTCCAGCTCTTCCCTGCCCTCCAAGGTCTGGATCATGGCACCCTGAGGGGTGGGAATGGGCTGTTACAGTGTGGCCTTTGCTTTTGGGCTCCCTCACTGGCCCCAGGGTGGCAACATGGAAAGCAAGCATCCAGCATGAGTCCTTGCCTGCTGCCCTCCGTGGGGCTCAGCAGGGCCAGGCCCCAGACAGAGCACCTTCCTCTGTGGAGGTGGAAGAGTCTGAGGAGGGCCTTGGGCAGGTTTCCTTTCAGGTAAGAGTCTTGTGCATGTAGTACTGCCTAGCATTTTCTCTTTTGACTCCCATCTCTTTGGAGAGACTCAGAAGAATAGGAGTGATATACTTAGAGGCCTGGGCCTGGCTGGGTGAGGGCAGAAACCGGAGTAGAAGAAGTGGGTAGGCCCAGAACAGGGTACCCTCGGCTTCACTCAAGGCTTCTCTGCCTGTGCATGACTCTGGTTCCACCTCAGGCAGGTTTCAGGCTATGTTTTCCTCTGTGGAGGCTGACACCCATCTGGGGTAGGCTCTCTTTGGGATTTGGTTTTGCTTGAGGCCCAGAAGAAGAGAGTGAGCTCTCGCCTACAGACCCACAGCAACCCTGGGGAGCAAAGAAGAGGTAGGCTGGCTTCCCAGCCCAAAAGGGAGGTTTCCACAGTGTGCCACTGAGCCCTCACCAGAGGCGGCCCCCAACAGGACTGACCTCTGTGTACTTGCTGAGAAAAGGTGTGTGAGGGGTACGTTCTGCTCCCCTGGCTAATGGCGCACAAGGCAGCCCCACTGCTTACCTTCTCCTCAATCCGCCTAGTGACATCATCCAGCTCGCTGGACAACATGTGGATCTGCAGGGTGCCTTCAAGCTGTCGCTGGTACTGGAGCAAGTTGCCTTGAAAATTCCCCCACCTGGCCAAGGGGTGGTGGTGACCCGTGTGCCTGAGGTTATCTCCCACCCCCTTCCTTCCCAGTCTGGTACTAGCCTGTGGTTGAGCTGGCTTTGCCGCTGGCAAACAATCTTGGCTTCCTCAGGGTCCAGGTTCTTGAGCTGCAGTGACAGGCCACTGATGCTCCTGATGTAGGTGGTACCTATAGTGTCCTACAGAGGAGCTGCAGGTAAGGGCGCTGGTGCCACCTGCACATAGTCCCTTCTTGGCACTGCAGCTGGCACTCGGGGGTAGCAACAGCATGTGAGGATACAAGGGGAACAACTGTCCTTCCTGCAGTAGGTGCGGAGGGCGCACTCCCAGGTACAGCATGCGAGTTAGCTTGAAGCCCAAGTCTCTTAGGCCAAGGAATGTGCTCCTCAAGGGGAGGGTGGCACATGCTCACTGGCAGAAATTTGACGGGGACTGGGACTGGAAATTGAATCCAGGAGCTTTATCATACACCCCGCTATTTATTTATTTATTTATTTATTTATTTATTTATTTATTTTGAGACAGGTTCTCATCAAGTTGCTAAATTGCCTGTGCTAAGCTTGAATTTATAGGCTCTTTTCAGCCTCCCAGATTATACTTATTATTATTTATAGGCTCTGTTCAGCCTCCTAGGATTATAAGCATTCAGCACCATGCCTGGCAAACAGATACTTGTTAAACTCAAATGCAGCTTATTGGGATAAGAGAAGAAAAGCGAGGTTGGGGTGATTTGAGCTCCAGTCTCCTGTGGTTTGGGTTTGTCACACACAGAACTGGGCTGTGGCTACCACTGGGAGGGCTTACAGGCTCCCTGGGGAGGGCAGCCCCACAAGGTGAGCAGTGCGGGTTGCAGGCTTCTGGCCCTTTGCACTTGTACAGCTGAGCTTTCTGAAGCGCTTCCCATGAAGTGTCTCATCCCAGATAGGCAGGGACGGGTGTTTCTCTCCTTTCATAGGTGCTAGAGCAGAGCTCAGAGGCTGGCATGGCTCATTTATGGCAGGGCTAGGACTTAGGCCAAGCTCCCTTCCTGATGTAATGCCTGGTACAGACTCTACACAGTTCCACTACTAACACTGCAGCTTTTAAAACCCCATCCTTACTTATATATCAAGAGGACAGGGGTGGGACACGACCCCTAACATCTGCTGTGAATACAGTTTCCAAATTTCTTCCCTTCATACTACAAAGGAAAAGCAGGTTTCCGGTGTATTTTGGGGGAGATGGTGTAAGAAGGAGCTGCTAGGACACTACAAGTAATCAGAAGCATACTGATTACTATGCTCAGGCACATATACCATTTTTTAAAATAACAACAGATGTATGAAAAATTGCAAAAGTAGTACAGAGAGGTTCCTTGTACTCTTCCCCTCACTTCTCATGTGACAGCAACATCTCACATAACAGAGAGGGCTGCTTAAGCAGTAAGGGCAGAGCGGACCCTTGAGCCCACCCATGGCCCCAGAGCCCCCATGTCCATGACACCGAGCCACGCTTCCCGAGGAGGTGCTGTGCCCACCGTGGTGCCTTGAAACTTGTGGAGCCACTGGCAGAGCTGCAGGCAGTGCTTGAGGTCCTGGCCTACCTCACCAACGTTCACTGTCTCCTCCTGCAGAGGCCAAGGGAGGGAAGGGGAGGCCAGCACTCAGCGCTGGCCCTGGGCACACAACCCCTGGGGCAGTGTTGCAGCAGATGGAGGCTTTGGGGCTTCCTCCCAGGACACCCTTCTGCTAGGGGGCCAGAGAATGCAGGTCTGGGCTCCTTCCCTCCCTACCTCAGTCCCTAGCTGGTCCCCACCTTCTCCTGGATCCAGGCTTCTGCGAGGTCTGCTTTCTGCAGGAATTCCAGGAAGTTGCGCTTGTTCTCCAGCTCCTGGCCCCGCATGGCCATTGCCTGCCGCAGCTTCTCCCTACTCTCCTGCAGTGCCTGCAGCCTCTTGGAGACCTCTCCTATCCGAGGGTGTCTCTGAGTCAAGAGAGCCTCACCTTGCTGGGAAAAGAGGGGACACAGGAAGCTTGCCTTCACTGTCTCCCTCCTGACACCATCCCCCTTGCCCATCCTGGAGTCTGCACTTAGGGTAGGCTAAGGCCGAGGCCTGTCATTACCTTGGCAACAGGTTTCAGGGCCTGCTCAAGGGCCTGGACCTCGGCCTGGAAGGCCTGGTGTTTCTGCAGGCACTTCCAGTTATCTTTCAGGTCTCCAGGAGGGACTGGCTCTCTCAGCTGCTGGATCCGCTCCTCGGCCCAGTCCTCGGCCTGACAGGGGTGGGAATGAGAGTCTATGTTGCTCGCCTCCCAGCTCCCCGCAACCAAACCTTGGTTTTTTCATTCACAGGTATGAAAACCATCAAGAAAGTGGCTTAAGGGGAAAGCACCAGTCAGGGAGAGCCTTCAGACCTGAGTGGCAGCCCTGGCAAAGCTGGAGATCAGCAGAGAGGTGTGCAGGGCACATTCCCGACTTTGTGCCAGCTCCTTGACCCGAGCCTGCCAGTTCAGCACACCGTGAAGCAAGTCCTGTCCCCTGGGGCCTGGGAGCGCCTTGAACTGCTCACACAGAGCGGTCACCTGTGGGGCAGGGGCAGGGCCGGTGCCCAGGGCTCAATGCCTTCTTCAAGGAAACTCCAGCCCTGCATGGCCTCAGGCCCACCAGCTTTCTCCACATCTGAACTATTCTCTGGTGACCATATGCTTTGGCTCGATCTCAGCATCCATGACCGTCCCTCAGTGTGGCCACCCCACCCTCGGTCTCCTCAAGCCACATGGACACCCAGGTGCCTAAGCTCCACAGGCATGAGTGCTGCCTCTGGGACGCACCTAGCACCCACGTGCCCATGCAGGACTCTTCCTACCCCTGACGCTCTGACCCCGGACTGAGGCCATGAAGTTCCAAGTCTGTTACCTTCTTGTCCTGGGCAGTCAGCACCTTCTGGAAGACCACATGCTTGTGGATCAACTGCTCTACCTCTTCCACTGAGTTTCCCAGGGTGCTGGTTTCCAGGGACACCTGGATTAGAAAAAGTCAGAGCCCCTCTCTGTATCTGCCTGGGCTGAGGCATTATCTCTGGGCACTGGGGAGAAGAAAGAGACCTGTGGTGGGGTTCACTGCATGTGGGCAGAGGGGCCCAGGTGGGGGCCAGTGGACCACAGCCTCTGCACATAGGGGATGGCCAGTATGACTAGCCTCAGCCAACATTCTTAGGGCTTGGTCTATGGGCTGGTAGAGGCCTAGGCACCCAGTACCACTCTGGCCACTATGGCCTCCATGCCCTAGATCAGAGGAAACAACAGAAATCCAGGAAGAAAGGGCTAGAGAGAGGAGTCTGGGGAGACCTGCCTCCTGGGCTGAGAGGGTCTTCTCCAGGAGGCCACACTGGCTGAGAAGGTGCTGTTCCTGCTGCATAGCCTGTAGCCTCTCTTGCTTCTGGGCCCAGGCCTGGAACATCTGGTCACACTCCTCCTGTAGGGCTTGAAGTCCATCCTGGACCTGGGATAAGCATGTGTGGGGCAGGGCTAAAGCCAGGTGTACAGGGGTAGGGGCCGGGGGCAGGGCTAGAGACAAGGAAGACTTCACGGGCAAGGTGGATGTGGACCAAGGGAAAGCTTGTGAGAAGCCAGCATGGCACAGGAACCAGGGGCTGGGCAGGCTGGGTCAGGTGGGAGTAGGCTGGGGGCACCAGGAAAGGGGCCACCTCCTTGCTGGGTGTCCCTGCAGTCAGAAGGGCCTGCCACCCCAGCTGGGTGGCCTGCTGCCGTCGCTCCTCCCAGGCCTCCAGCTCTGCCCTCAGCTGTTGGTAGGCGATGAGCATGAGTGGGCCACTGCTGGGCTCCCAGGGGCCTTCCTCTGCCTGCAGTCCCCGACGAATGTCAGCTGCCCAGGAGGTATAGTCCTGCACCTGTCCCAGAGATGAAGAGCAGGGTGAGGACTGCATGTGGAAGGAACCAGGAACAGCCACAACTGCAGCCACCCGCTCCACAGAGGCAAGGCCATGGGGTCTCGTGGCCTGGTTTCTCTGTTTCCAGCCAACCCACTTCTCCCGGGTCTATGAAACTCCTATGGAGGCCAGACCCTCACTGAGACTGCCTGCACCATGGTGCTCACTGCCATCCTGAAAGCAGGCCTTCCTGCGTCTCCTCTCTGCCATGTCTGTGAGGGGGCGGCAGCTGAACAAACAGCTGGCTGAGGGGGAGAAAGAATCCCAACTCTTTGGGGCCACCTTTGCCTCTGCAGCCTTCGCTCTACCCGACATCTTCCTGCTCACCAGCCTCCAAGGTGCCAACCCAGCCCTACATCTGTCTCCTGTCCATGTGCGGATGATCACACAGCATTAGGGCTGGAGGGACCCAGCTCGTGCACCAAGTATGTGACCATGTCTTCCAAACTATAGGCTCTTGAGCAAAGGGTGACAACCTAGGGTGCAGTGGCCCTGCTCAGACTGCAACAGAGTAGCAGATGAGGGTTTCTAAACTATTGTCTGTTCAGTGTTGCAGTTTGAGCCTCAGTGGTCCATCAGGCTTTGGGATATCCTGTACCCCACAGCAAGGCTCGCATCCTGGTCTGATCCTTCGGGGCCTTAAGCCCATATCCTTAGGCAGGTGGGCTCCATGAGGGGAGCAATTGCATCTTCCAGAGCTTCCCTTCCCTCTGCACCCACAGCTCTAGCAGGGAGCTGAACACAGATGTTGAACAGACACTGACTGATCTAGTGAGTATTGGATCATCTAGTCTCCAGCTATGAACTTTCCTATGCTGTTGTCACTGTTCGGCACTGCCTGGGCACCACATAGGAGCCTGTCACTCACCTGAGCTGGTGCTGACCCAAACCCTAGGAGTCCAACCACACTCCCTCTGGGCTACCTCTGAGCAGGCTCACTGACATCTAGATGGGCTCATGTTCTGTTCCTCCTGTTCATACTTGTTTTCCCTCTAGAATAGGGGGCCTCAGTGCATGCTCACGTATATCTGCACATGTGCATACAAGCATGTACACACACATGCACACGTATGCTCTTCAAAGGGGAAGGTGCCCTCACCATGGCATGGAAGCGAGCCATGAGGCATGCCCGCTCCAGCTGGGTCCTACGCCAGTCCATGCGTAGCTGCAGGGCCTCCAAGGCCTGTGTCACAGCTTGCTGCCTCTGCCACACTGCATGGGCCAGAGGCCCTGGATGTAGCTTCTGTACCCTGCTTCCAGCCTCTAGCAGTTCCTGCATCTGGCATCAGGGAGGGGACAGGGAAGAAGGTGCTGTCCTAACAGAGGCTGAAGGGCCAACCACCCAAGATGTAGCCCTCACATGGGAAAGCAGGGCCTCCCTGGGCTACCTACTGCTGTGCCCAACAGGTCCACCAGGATGCCAAGGGAGAAGGGGAGACATAGAGCGCCAGGTACCAGCTGAGGGCACCCGCAGGGGCCTGACTGGGAGGCAGTCAGCTCCACACCTGGTGCTCAGTGCCCAGAAGCTCACGCTCCAGTGCCTCGTGAGATCTCAGCTGGGCCTCCGCCACACGCAGGTCCTGGGCCACATCACTGGGGAGGCTTGAGGCTTTCTCCTGAGGGTAGGGCCATGGGATGAGGGACAGGGGACAGGGCACTGGGCCTGGGAAGGACACACTTCTAGAAAGACCCCCTTCCTCACCCGAGCTCACACCTGGACATGGGTGAGGGCCCCCAGCAGGTCTCTGTGAACTTTGAGGGTGGTCTCTGCATCTCTGAGCAGGCGGCCTCGGGCCTGGGTCAGCTCCCACAACTCCAACCAGGCAGTCCTGCCCCCAGCACGAGAGAGCAGTAGGGAGGGCTCGGGCGCAGCCAGCTTGGGTCCCCCTCCCTTGCCAGACCTGGTCACCCTGCCCCAGACTCCTGAACGGTTCTCGGCCTTCTTTAGCCTCTGGCCCTTCCTGCAAACATTTCTCTCTCTAGGTCTCTGGACAGACCTTTGCTGCTGTAATGCCCAGGCTTAACTGACCTCTGCTTTGTGATGCTCTTGCATCTCCTGGGTCCTTGGTATTTTGATCAGATTACAAAGGCCTTCAGGGCCGAGGCCACATTCCCCCATTCTTCATTTACTTAGCAAACTGGTTGAGGATCAGGACCAGAGCCTGCCTCAAGGGTGATTATAGAAACACAGTGCAGAAGGGGCAGAGGAAAGGGGGACGCGGTTGCTGAGGGAGTCGATGGGAAGGCCCCTCCCTGGCCCATGGTGTCCCCAGACTTGGCCCCTGGCACTCACTGCAGCTCCTGCTGCTTCTGGCGGGCCTTGGCGGCAGCACTCTGCCCACACTCCTGCAAGCTCTCTGCCAGCTGCTGGCAAGTGGCTACCTGCTGGCTGCCCACCTCCACCTGGTGCTGAAAGTTTGCAAACTTGGCGCGGAGGTCCTGAGAAGAGAGCAGAGTGGGTGACAGGGTGGGCCTAGCAGTCAGACAGTGAACAGCCTGGGGAGCAAGGGACCTCAGGGACCCATAGAACAAAGCGGGGCTGGATGGCCATAGCCGGTGCACTCTACCCTGATGGCTCCATCCACCCCAGCAGGGGCACTGGCCTCCACCAGCACTTGCTCAGTGTCCTCCCTGCCCCAGCCCCTCACCAGCACGTGCTCATAGTCCTCTCCCAGGCACTCCACTCTGGTGGCCGCCTGCTTCTGGCTCGCTAGCCAACTCTGCAGGTCCTCAGCCTCCCTCATGAACTCATGTAGCCGCAGCATCCCCTCTAACTTCCGGCCCCTGTGGTGACAGTACATGGTTCCCCAGAAGTTAGCTGTCACCCCTTGAGGACAGGCCAACTGAAGGGCCAATCTGAAGGATAGGGTTATTTATGGTCTTTGCCCAAGCATGCAGCTTGGGGCTCGGGGACAAGGAGACACAGGAAGACCAGGGGAAGCCAATGGGGAGGCTGTGGACATGGAGAAGAAGTGGATAGCTGGGAGCTGGGCCCTCCCTGAAGACTTGGAAAAGGAAAGAGGTAAAGAAGTAAGTCATACCCAGCAAGAGAAAGGTTC